GCAGGTGAAGTCGCTGCAAGAGTATCATCTCTGTTCGTTTATCCGATCAAATCATGTAAAGGAATCTCTTTGTCTCAAGCAGCTCTCACTCCCACTGGTATAAAACAAACACTTATGTCCGGAAAGTTGTCATTTTTATCCCTTTTCCTGGGTTTTGATTTCGATTTTTCCTTTTTGGGTTTCATATTTGAGCTATTTCTGATTTTGGGTCCCAAGTATTTGAACGAAATCCGTCGCTTTGGCTGATTTGAATTCTATGGCCTATGTTCAAATTCTGTTACTTTAGTTGTTGCTGTTAGTTTGAGAGTTCTCATGAGATTGAGTTTGTGTGATTTCTTTTTGGGGAAAAGAAGAAAAAAATGAGTGATATTTTTTTTTGGGTTTGGTGGCTTAGGATTTCGGTGGGATCGAAACTGGTTGATTGTGAACTCTAAAGGAAGAGGATTGACTCAAAGAGTGGAACCAAAGCTTTCCTTGATTGAAGTTGAAATGCCTAAACACGCGTTTGAAGAGGAATGGGAACCTCAAAAGAGCTCAAACATGGGTCAGAGATTGTTTGTTGTCATCTTCTTCTTCATTTATGAAGAAGATAATCGTTTTTTTTCTAAATCGTTGCTGCTGTTTTTTCAGTGGTTAGAGCTCCTGGTATGGATGCCCTTAAGGTTTCACTAGCTAAACCGGAAAAAATAGCAGACGGTGTCTCGGTTTGGGAGTGGTCTGGCTCTGCTCTAGATGAAGGAGAAGAAGCATCTCAGTGGTTTACAAACTTTATTGGGAAGCCTTGTCGACTTGTTCGTTTTGATTCAGGTTTTATATACATTTTTTACTCCGTTTAAAGAGTTATCGCCGTTTACTCACGAGCTCATGTGTTTATTGTTATATTCTGCAGCGTCTGAGACTAGGACTGTGGATCCAAATTATGCTCCAGGTCACATTGCAATGTTCTCAGATATGTATCCTTTCTTGCTTATATCACAGGTTAGTCGCCATGAAAGAAAACGAGGATCATATTCAATTTCTTTCTTTCGGTTCTGCTCTGAATAGTTTCATGGTGTTTCCAGGGTTCTCTTGATTCCCTGAATAAGCTTTTGAAGGACCCTGTACCGATCAACCGATTTAGACCCAAGTATGTTCAAACGAACGTCTCAAGTCTTTTATTGCTTTGTAACATCATTTCATAACTGTGTCACCGTGAAATGTGACAGCATCTTTGTAGATGGATGTGAACCATTTGCCGAAGATTTATGGACAGAGATCCTTATAGACAATTTCACCTTTCACGGTGTGAAGTTATGCTCCCGTTGCAAGGTACATAAAAAAGCTTGTCTTATGTCAAAACTCCATGAGTATTTTTTTTATGGGGTTTTTTCACGATAAGCATCTTAATTTTTCGATGATCAGGTACCGACGATTAACCAAGAAACTGGGATTGGAGGTCAAGAGCCAATTGAGACTCTGAGGAATTTCAGGTCAGAAAAAGTTTTACAGCCAATGAGTAAACCACAGGGAAAGGTAGAGACCATTTTTCGCTTTCATCATAACGAATGAATATGAAAGTTTTTTTTTAATGGTTGATCTGAAA